GGCCCCTTCTCTTCACCTGTCCCGTCGGGCTGCCCAGGTTTGCATAAGGCGCTCTGCTTGCCGGCTGCTTATGGTGTCTGCCCTCTGCTCCTTGTCTGTGACAGATATCAACCTTAACTCTCCCAACAAAGGTCTGCTGTCGGATGCCATGACAGATGTGCCGGTGGAGAGCGCCGCTTCGGCCAGGACCTCTGCGCCCGAAGGGCTGACTCTTGCTGAAGAGGAGGAGTTGAGATCCGAGCTTGCCAAGGTAAGCAGCCGCGGTTGTGTCCTCCCGGGAAGGAACAAACAGGAGCCACAGGAGCAGGACTCGATGCAGGGGCGGGGGGGGTTTAAATCTTGCAGTGGCGTCGCCTGAGCTGGCTGTTGAAATGCACAAAGCTGGCAGGTACTTCAAACGCTGCAGTGTGTTGTGTGCTCTTTCCCAGAATGACTTAATGTAGAGCTCTGAGGAAATAACTGGCATCTGATGCTGTGAGCTTAATCTGAGCTGTTAGCTCCACGTGAAGCAAGAAAACACTTTAGGTGAGCAGTATGCAGCTCGTTTTTCCTTAGAAAACTGAAACAGCAGAGCACTTAATATACTTCCTTTTTCCACCTTTTTGTCTTAAATATTTACTATGCTTTATAGGCAGCTTTTTTTGGTGCCTATATGCTTTTGAAGATCTGAGAGCTTGTAATGCAATATCTTAAATTTTGGGAGCCTCTTGGGTTTTAAAAGTCAGTTTATAACTTCTGTCCGCACTGCAGCTGAAGATAATTGCAGCTGTTCTTCTGTAGTCCTGTCTTTCATTGGAGAATCTCAGAGTGGTTCTTTGACCTGCAAGTTTTGGTAAGGGAGGACTTGGCTGCTCTGCGTGCTCATGCAGATCTTGGTGAGCTCCAGTTAAAGTAGAAATGAACCCTCTCTGCCTGAAAAAAACTCCAGAGTACTTGGTAAATGTTCTGAGAAAGCTCTCTGAGGAAAAGCTCTTTGGTTTACTGACATCAGAGGAAAAGAGCCGTAAGATAAAATCCTTAGTTAATAAGATTTGGCAACTGATTTTTATCTGCTGTTGAAATTGCAGCGCTGGGAACGAGTTCTGTTAATCGTGGTGCTGTGAAGTGACCAGGGCAGTGGCTTGCGTGGATGCTTTCCCCATGGCCGAATGACGCGTGGGCCTCCTGCTTCAGCACTGCTCAGCTGAATGGCTCTGCCAGTACCTCTCATTCCTACGGATTCTTTAAATTCACATTGATGCAATCTTGCTAGTTCTGAGGGAGGCAGAAAGTTGGCTTAATTTTCAGAATGCTACTGAACTGTGATGCAAGACAAACCTCCACCTCTTTCTCTAAGGTTGAGGAAGAAATTGGGACTCTCAGGCAAGTTCTGGCTGCTAAAGAGAGGCACTGTGGAGAGCTGAAGAGGAAGCTCGGTTTGACTCCCTTGGATGGGTTAAAGCAAAACCTGTCTAAAAGCTGGCATGATGTCCAAGTCTCCAATGCGTAAGTGTTGCTTGTGATGCCTGTTATTTACTGAGTCGTATAGCCTGGATTAAAAAGCCTGCACTTCCTAGGAAAAAATTCTGTAATACTAGTGCACGTTACATGTAGTCATCTCTGCCTGAGGAAGAGCTGAATTTAGACAGAGTGTTCATGAACAGGCATCAAAGGTTTGGGCACTGCGGAGCCTGGCAGTGCCTAAAGGAGAGACAGAGGTAAGTTTGACCCTGCACTTGTGCCTGGGTGTAAAGGGCTCTTGGTGCCCCTGGAGATATCACTCAAAAATGTCTCCTGTGAGTTAAGTGGAACTTGGAGTTACTGACAGTGCGACTGCAGAGCAGATCATTGAGCTGTTCATCTCACTGTTTATTCTTTCCCTTTTCCTCATCTTCCCTCCTACACCCCTGCCCAATTCTGTTGTTCCTCTGTGATGGAAGTCTGTGTCGTTGTCTTCTAAAAAATGAATATTGAAGTTATATTCATTAACACTTTCTGTTTCTAGTTATGTGAAAACATCTGAGAAACTTGGAGAGTGGAATGACAAAGTGACACAGTCTGACTTGTGAGTGCCTCGGGCTCCTCAGCAACACCTCCTTGCTCCTTGCTGCGTTCCCCGATTCATGCTGCTACTCGTTCTCCCGGGCATCAGGGGCTCGTTGGGAGCTGAGGCGGGGTGACGCGGGGCTGTTCCCAGCAGCGTGCCCGCCTTCCAGCTCTAAGCATCCCTCAGCTGCAGAGGAGATGAGTAAACGTTAACTGCTGTCATCTCTCTCATGGTCTTGCTGTCGCAGAAGAAAAATTCCAATCAGTTACCAGACCACGTTTTATTTTAAAACAAAAAAAAAAAGGGCAAAAAATCAACCAGTTTCTCTTTAGCTGGTCACTGGTAGGTTAGTCTGTTGTTATTGGGTATCGTCTTAGCAAACCTTTATCATTACTTTGGAAATATTTCTTATCGAATGTGGTAGGGAGTGCAAATACAAAAATGTCTGTTAGCTTTCGAGAGCCGCCACGCTGTGGCTTTTCTGCGTTGACATATGTGAACCTTTCTGCTGATGTCAACACATTTGAGCCTTTGCTGTGTACACGAGCAGGTGACAAACGTGGAGAAAGACCATCTGGCTCCTTTTCTAGAACATATTCTTTAATTATATTAGACCTTCACTCATACTAGGTGGAAATAATTTTGTTGCATAGCTGAGCTTAAGGGAGCCCTTGGATGTTTTCTGCACTGAAGATTCTCTTCCTTCCCTGTATTACGTTGAAGGAGGTAGTTATTTAGCTAAGAGGAAAATGTGGGTTGGAAGTCAGTGGATAATGTGGGAGGTTAACACTTCTGGGGGCTGTGAACTGCCTGCGAAAAACTTCTCCTGGGAGCTTCTGCGTGTGCCCTAAGCTTTCTGTAGGACTTGTACCTCCAGTGTTAATTCTCACAGCCCTAAGGTACTGCTTTGTAGGTGCAGGAATGTGATTGCTAAAGATGAGGAAATGAAAGTAGGTTTAACGGTGTGTTCAGGTCATGCTATATTGGTAAAATACAGCTTTGGGTGTGGCAGTCAGATTTCTTTTTTCTCTTAGCCTTGAGGTCAGTTTGCTGGTCTGTGCTTTTACTGCCACGCAGCATGTAGGAAGGGAGCAGAGGACGCAGCATCTTTCAATTCTGACACCTGCCACGCTGCAGGCTTTGTTTCTTCGTGCTCAGTGTTTGAACATGCTTAAATAAGAAAGAAACTGGGGCTTGGATGTCTCTCACCTCTCAAACAGCAGCTCTTTTTCTTCTGACTGTAACAGAGAAGGGGGGAAGCTATTGTTGGAGAAAAAAAGCCTGTGATACTGTAAGTGCAAAGGGACTAATAATGTGGAAAGTGTCAAAAGAAGCATCTGTCATGAATCTGGGCACCATATCTAACCTCCATTGTGTTTGTAGATATCTTTCAGCCAGCAGCACACTGGAGGACCTGAATGAAAAATTAACTCAATCAGAAGCGTGAGTGTCTTAACCTTCAGCGTTAACAAATGCTTCCCTGCCAGTCTGCTGCCACTAACGTTCTGTGCCCCTGCTTGCAGCCCTCTGCTTTGACTAGATCTATTAAAACATTTCTCTTTTCTAGCTTTCACTTTTTCTTAACACAATAAATACCTCTTCTGAGAGAGGGAGCTTTTCCTCGGGTCAATATTTGAATGATTTCATGTTAGTCCTCTTCAGATGGCTGCCCGCTCTCAGAGGAGAACTGGCTGAAGCCACCAGGTAGCTGAGATGTGCGTGCCACACGTGTCTTCACCTGACAAGATTTGGAACAGCCAGACTCGCCTCTTCTTGTTACCTTCTGCAGGGCACAGGAGCTTGTCTTTTTGCCGTGGTACCCAATGAGAACAGATAGAGCAGTAGTGTCCGAGGCAGGTGTTCTGCCACGCTGGGCCCCTAAATGGACTTGAACAGCTTAATCCTCACAACTGTCATACTCCAGATGTTGGTTGTGAAGGTCTCTTAGCCATGTTTTTATGAAATACCTGAAACTAAATTCTCATCTGGACCAAACCATGGAAGCATATTGTGGAAATGGGCCTTGGTCCTTCTCCCTGCGGCCTCCCCACCATATGTGGCGCAGTCCTTTGCAGTGATGCAGCGGGAGCAGGCAGGTGGGGTCAGTGTTTTCTGAACTGATATAAGCCACGGTAAGGTAGGGCTTAGGCAAGCCCATTTTTCCTGTTCTCTGGACTGGGTATGGCATTCAGTCCTCTGAGCTGGCTCGTTACTGGCAAGCGTGTGTGAATAGAAGATTTGCTTTGGAAGACGGGTGAAAGCTGAGCAGAGATAAGGAGTACGAGAAAAGACGATTTTCAGGTGTGCAGGTCTACTTTCAACGTTGCGTGTATGTCGTCTAGATTCCAACGATGTAAACGGTCACTATTTCGCTTGCTTAAATTGAATAGTCTTGGGTTTTATGGTTGCTGACAGCGTGACTGACTCCAGTGGTGTTTAATCAGAGTTCCTCCCTGGGTGTGCCTGCTAGAGTTGAAAACTCCTCGTTGTATCTGTTTCCTTGTACTTAGTAAGTGCCAGAAATGTGACGGAAGCATGTTTTTGTGGAGCACTTAAGGCTTGAATAGCTGTGGCATGTTAGTTTTCCTGCTTGCTTTGGCATCAGATGCAGTGACAAATGGTGCTAGCGAGGTAGGTGCTGGTTAAAATGGAGAGGCAAAAGGGAGGGAAAGGTAAGATTCCAGCAATGTTTCAGAAGGCAGTCAGAATTTCTGCTTCCTTTGAAGCTCGATAAATGCAAAGAGTCAAATTCAAAAAACCCGAGATCAGGGGTTTACTCCTATGTCTTGGGTTTTTTTAGCGCAAATGCATCCTCTTTCCTCTTTCAGAGCTTCTCTGCGTTATAGCTAACGAGCATCCTGACTGAGCTGGGAACAGGCCTAACTCATAACCTTATTCTGGTGCTTTAGTGCCCTGCTGGTGCCGTTCCTGGCCATGGATTTGCCCTCTGCAAGCAGCACGTAGACGAGACAGAAATCAGCCTCCTCTGTCTCTAGCTCCAGTTTCACTGTAACCAGGACACGAGAGGACTGAGGCGGTTTGTGTACTCAGCCAGACGGCACAAATGGCGATTGCTGGATAAGAGCAAGTGAGAGGATGTTGGTATTAGTGGATAAAGGAGGATTTGAGGGTGCAGGTCTGGCTCCTCCCTGTCAGGGTTTATAGGAGATGGGTGCGATGAAATGTTTGAATACCACAGGACGAGCGCCATGGGGCACAGATTGTTTCTGCAGCTTCTGCTGCAGCCAGTTGCCTGTTAGTAGGGCAAGGTATTAACCAGAGCTTGTATTTATTGCTCCCAAATTTGGATTATTCTATTGCATGTAGTACTGTCATGAAGGGAAGAAAGTGTGTGAGCATGAATTTAACGCCGTGGCTAACCTGGCTGTGTCTCTCACAGGGGAGTAGCTGCGCCTTCTAGGTCAGGGCTGGGCGTAGTTAAGTTGTATTAAAGTCTTGTATAACCTGATCCCTGGTTGTCACAGATGCAGTTCCACATGTGTGTCTGATGGCAGTTCTGGGTTAAAGAGCTTCTTGCCTCAGCTGCGCTTCCCTGTCTCTGCCTCACGCGTTGCGGCAGCGGTGAGGAGTGTGCGGGAGCTGTGGCGCGGGACTAGGCTGGCGATCTGGTCTGGCTGCTGCTGTCTTTTTTAATTCTTCCAAGTTCATATTTCAGCCGAATCGTTTCCCTGATCTGGATTACTGCGTCAGCGCAAACAGTTGTGCTGGCATCGTGAAGGAGCACACTCAGGCAGGAGGGGCAGAGCACTAGATCTTCACTTATCTTAAGAATACTGCTGCTGAGTGTGGGGAAAATACAGTTGGAAGATCCGCGGCCTTTATCTGCTTCAGCTAGACACAATATGTGGGAGTCTGCAGCGGGTGCATGGCATGATGGTGTCCTCTGAGTCTGTAAACCGTTCCTCTTGATGCTGATCTCTGAGAGCGAAGTGCCAGGCAGATGTGGAGGCAGCACAACGTACTTCAGTCTTCAGAGTTTCTGTAAATCAAATCCCATGGCAGGACTCAACCGGGGAGGAGCCCGACTGCTGAAGGAAGGGCTTGAGATCCTCCCCTCCCACAGCAGCTTTGGCCCTGGGATTCAGATGCAGTTGTTGCGATTGGAAAGCGTGTGTAGGGGAAAGCAGCGCTGATGCTGACCAGTTCACTCCTAAACTGTCCTGAGATGACTGCTTCTTGCAAAAGATTGTGCTGGGGAGAAACGGTGTTGAGGCTTTGCTGTTGGGGCGTGCTCAGGTTCTTCTGGAGTCATGGAATTCAATAGGAATTGGCCTGAAAAACGGGAATTTTCTTTCCGGAGCAAGGGAGAGAGAAGGTAAAGCTGATGCAGGTTTGTCCTATTCCGTCCCATAAGTCTCCTGTACGTTCCTGATTCAGAAATGCTTGGCTGTGGTCTTAAAACAAAAGGAAAAAAAAAGCAAGCAACAAATGAACATGTTGTAATTCAGGTGCTGTGGTGCTGTGTCCTGCACTTCTTTGTGGAGAGAATGAGATGTAACTAAGTCAGGTGCCATCACGGTGCTTCTAGCCCTGCGAGCTTCCGCTCAGGCCTGAGAGAGAAGGTGAGGCTGTTTGTGATGCCCTTCTCCTAAATGTCCTAGTCAGACAAAAAAGGAATCTCAAAACGAACTATTGGGAATAAGAAACTTGGCTTGAGTTATTGAGATTGTTTTCCAGCCTATTTTCTTTTTTATATAATTTGAAGAATGCCATAAACCTACATGTTAATCACCACCTGTGGAATAGCTTAGAGGGGATGAGTTAATGAAGGTGGCTCAAAGAGTCTTTGTTCCTGAGATTAGTCTCATCTGAGGGAAACGAAGGTTCTCAAGTGTCTTTCTTCTCCCTCTCTGATATAAACTCAAAGGTAATCAGCTGACAAATAGGAGCTGTCAGACTTCTTACGTGTTGTGGTTAATGGTAACTGATAGGAAACTTCTCTACCAATGTGTTGCTAAACAGCAAGTTGGAGAGAGAATGCCGATTGCTCCATTTCTTTTCTGCACAGTGATGTTAGTCTTGCTTCTTCCCTCCATAACCTAATGCTGTGACAAATGCTCTAACTCCTTCAAAGCTGCAAGGGTGTTATGGTACAGGTTCCTAGATTTGTCTTCCCAAGGAGACCAAAAGATAATTGTAGAGCAAATGATGCTGTGGTATCAGAGTTTCCACAGGGAAAATGGGGTTTTGTTTTGTTGGGGTTTTTTGGCAAATGTTTGTCAGGGTTAAGAGTGTATAGTCAAAATGGTAAAATGACTGTATGAAAAGGTTAATCCTACACTTACTGCCTTTTAAAACTTCCAGTCTGTGAATATATGCAAGATTTTTAGGCGAAGTCGGGGTAGCTCACTAACCTAGCTTCTTCCCCTTAACATGGGCTCCTTTTTCTAAATGAGGGGGGGATGTTTCTTGCATTTGGATTAGTTGAATTTCTGATGGATTTCTTTTTTTTCTATTTAGTTATAAGAAGACCCAGGAAACCCTTTCCCAGGCAGGACAGAAGACTTCAGCAGCCCTTTCCAATGTAGGTTCAGGAAACTTGGTGACATGAGGTAAGGTTTCTGGTTTGCGCTCTGGTGCTTTGATTTTGGTTTCAGACAGCACTGAGGCTTTAGACAATAGCTAGGCTTTTTCCCATTTTTTCTGGTTAGTTGGCAGCACATTGTTGTCGAGGGACTACCTTCTTCTGTGTGACCCTGTGCGTCATAGTTTAGGGTAGATCAAACACTCGTTGGTGGAATAAAACCCATACTAAGGCGTTTAAGTTGGATTCAGTTTGGGAGAACTGACAGAATGTTTTTAGAAGCCCTCTCCCCCTTTTTACTGTCATGGTTTCTCTGCAGCTTTTACATCATATGTAAGAAACTAGTATTAAAGTTTACCTTTTCCATTCATCGCTGGATTTTGTGTTTTCTCACTGTTCAGGATTAGAAAGGGCTCATCAGTCCTGTGTTCTCTTACCCTTTAAAATGGGACAAAAGCTGACTGCTGCATTTCCTGCAGTTTCAAGCCCCAAGTGTCAGCTTTCCGTGGAGAAGGGCAGCCTGCCTTCCGGGCAGAGTTACGTCCTGTAGATGAGAAGATAGGAGTTGATTCAGAAGATCATGATAACATCAAAAATTTCCTTCTTGTGGTTGGTGGTTATCTAGATTCCTCAAGCAGATGACCGCTGAAGTAATTGTAAATGTAAACCTCTATAAATTGAGAAGTGGAGGGCTAGTGCCCTCGGTTGCTGACTGAAGTTCTTGCTCTGTGAGCTTCTCAGCTGCGCAAAGCTCAGGGTTAGAACTGGTGATTCACTCGATCTTCAGAAATTTAAGATCGCTTCCCTGGTAATGGTGACATCCAAGTTTTTCATGGAGGTTACTTTGACCACATTTTTCTTGGAACTGAGTGCTAATTCTGAATATACAACCCGTGTGGGTTATTGAGGAAGTATTCTTAGAGCTTGTGTAATACCTGATGTATCAGACCTTGGATTGAACGGGGAGCTGTCATTCTTTTTAGGGAATTTCCTATTCCACTGTGGCTGGGAATATCCAAGTGGTAAGAACTTGTTGGCCTCTGATCACATAGTACTGATTTATTCTACTTCTGTCCTCAGTGACTTATTTACTGTGTTCCTGGAGGGTAATTTTTGGTGTTTTCAGTAGCTCGCCTTGAATTTGGCAGAGGACTAGTTGGCTTCCTGCTCTTTCCAGTATTCAAGTTTTCACTCGTCTTTCCTGGAAACTACCTAGTCTGCTGCAAGAAGTGATTTCATATGTAATCACAGTAGATTACAGATGCTGGCACAAGATATGTTGGTAACACATTTTGCTAAACTGATAAGTGAATTTGGTGCCTGACTTTGGCAGTCTGCTGGGGCTGCTTTTTGAGTGCTTTGTGGGGCAAACGGGGAGCTCCTGACCCGCTGCTGCCACCAGCAGAAGCTGTTTTGACACTCTTGGCCCTGCCTGGTGCCTTTTGGTTGGGAGAATCTGGTTCGCCGTGCAGCTGCAGGAACGTTTGTGCCATCCCAGGAGCAGACGGTGGAGGGAGGGGATGTGCCCAGGCTGAGTGAGGGGTGCTCCTGGTCACGGAGCTGCCCAGACAGAGTGAGAGCTGGCCTAAAGACAAGAGAGACCTTTGCAGCGCTGGTGCTGCTCAGCATTCGTCACCAATTTAAACATCTGCATTCCTTTTTATAGCTTAATACCTTGGGGGTTATGTTATGAAATAGAGGCAGTTTCTGTCGTATCGCTTGGGAATCCCTGCCAAAGTTATTTCGGTGGGATTTGTTTTGTATACGTGGCCCTGCGGGGGAACACAGTAATGATTTTTTTTCCAAGACTTGCATTTTTTTCCTGTGCGTATATAGACAGACTTCCATCTCCTGCGCTGCTTTCGAGTCTTGATGTTTCTGGTTCTCAACAAGGTTTAACTCTGAGCATAAGTTTCTGCCCGAACTGTCCCACTTTCTGCCCTTGCCAGGTGAAACTCTGGCCTTCCGAGATGTGATCCGAGCTGACGAGGAGTGAAGTCTGTTGTAGTGTCGTGGTCACTTCTCTGCCCCAGTGGGGATGATCTCTGTTCCCAGAGAATCTCTGCACCCTACACTGCAACCTCCCTTACTGCACTTTATTTTTTCCACTTACACTACTGATTCACTTGTAAAGCAAGTTTATTTTCCACCCCTGGAAGTGTTGAGATAGCAGAAGGGATTTCCTTGTTTAGTCAGCCTTCACCGGTTGATAAACGCAAGGAAGGCGCGATGAATGGGACAAACCCCTCCGATACGCCGAGGGCGTGGTCGGAATTCCATTAAAAATGCTGCGACCATAATGCCATGAAATACAAGTGTCCCTGGGTTTAATCTTTAGGGTTGCTGTCTTCTGGTCAAAATAATTTCAAATGTTACAGGTGTGAATTGCAGTTGCGAAATTAATGTGGCAACGGTGCAATAACTATTAACGCTGTTGCTTGAGGGAAAGAAAATGTGGCTTAATTAGTGGGTGGGATATTTTTCAAATTTTGGCTAATTCAGCTTTTTCTGTTATCTTCACTTACAGTTAAAAAGTAAATTGGCTTTTAGATGTTCTAGTCTTGCATTTTACTGATGCCAGTAAACTGCAAAATTGAAAGCGTTCTCTATTTGTTTGGTAACAGCTTGCTCTGCACGTTTGTGTCTCCCAGAGCACTTCACGTTGTCTGATGGTGTTTGCTCCTGTACGCAATACTACAAGCAAATTCATTAGAAAATGTTTGTCTGAGCCCCAAACTCCTGAATTTATATAAACTTTAAATCCCTGTGAAAGGAGGAGAAGGGTTAATGCTAGGTCCAGGGCAAGATGCTGAACAAACGAAGCGCTGCTTGTGGTATTGCATACAGACTAGCCCGGTGCATGGACGTGTGTTAGCTGTGGTGTTCTCCTTTAAGCAAGAGTAAGTAGAAAGTTAATTTATTTTGCTTGTAAAGATAGCATTTCAAGAAGCCTGTCTTGCCAAAGAGCTGACTTGGATGCACGGGGAAATGAAACCACAGAGCCAAACGTCTTCGCTCTGGCTGTAAGGAAGAGCCCTTGTACTCCTTGCCAAGTACTTCAGATCCAACTTGTCGTGCCTGCTTCCTGCCGCAGAGACAGAAATTGTATTGGAGTGGAATAAAACACTGCTGCTAGTAGGAGAAGCTCCCTTTAGAGCATCCTGGTAATCTGTTATTTTGGGCTGCTGACACTCAGTGCCCTGCAAAATCATCCACGGTAATGTGCTGGGGGATGGTTTGCCTGGAAACCTAAAAATAGGCGACCGGGTTGTGGGGTGAACATGATACTTTTCATCCAGGTGCTCTTACCTTTGTTACGCTGGGATGTGTTTGTTCTCTGAGCTGTAACTTTGAGATCTGCAGCCTTGGCAAGGTAACGTGCAGGAAACAAACGTTCTCAACCAGAAGTCCTGGCAATGCTGTCTGTGTGCAGGAGCTGGTTGGGGGAAGCGAAAGGAAGAGGTATCTTTACCGAATAAGCAAGCACTTGGTAAAACTCAGTTTAGGAAAACAAACTCTAAAAAAAAAACCCAAACAGCACACATGAAAGCAGTGGATAGGGGTACGGAAAAAGTTTTGGTTTGTTGTTGCACACCCACTCTTTTCCCTCCCCAGCACCGTGTCTTGAAGTTGCTGTAGATGTTGTTACTGTTCTCTGAAAAACATCTTAGCTTGGCTGGAGTTAAGGAAAAATACCTGGGTTTTGCTCAATTCTGTCATTTATTTTGAGAAGATTCCTGCTAGGTAGTTGGTTTTGCTGTCCCCCCATCCCATGACCGTGTCCCTGCTTTGCTGCCCTGCGTTTCGCGTTTTGATGGGCACAAGTGTCTGACTGTCGCTTCCCTTTTCTCTCTCTGCCTCCCGTGGCTGCTCCCAGGGCTCACCCCTTCTCGCATTCCTTTAGGTAAGGCACTCTTCAAGGCTGCTAAAAGGGGGTTTGTTGCTGTGCCAGGCCCTTGCAGACGTTAAAGGGGAAGCTGGTTATTTAAGCCTTGCCTACCCTTTTGACATGGATTGAGAAACCTACCACAAAGCGTGCCCTGTGATTGACTTTCGGATCACAGTTGCCGTTAAATGCTGGTGCTTTTAACTGTCCTACGTCTGCAAAACTTCAGTTCTGGGCTGCAGCTGTTATTTAAATAAGGGAAGAGAGGGCAAGGTCTTACTGTTCTGGGGGTCCGCAGCAACCTGTGTGCGGACAGTGAGCGCGTGAGAGCCGGGGGCACGCTGCTTTTGTGTGATGTCGGTATAAAATGGTCATTTAACGTTTTCCTCCTTACTCTGAATGCTTCCGAGCAGCAGTTACTCCATTCGCCACTCGATAAGTATGCCGGCCATGAGGTAACGTAGCAAATGCCCGTGTCTCCTGCGTGGGGTCGGTGGGACTACGTCATTAATGGGGTTTTTGTTCTGATTTAGTACTATTTAAGCAGCCTCCGCTTGGCATATGGGCTAAACCACGTCCTGCAGCTTGAGTAACTCAGGGTGTGTTTTTTAACCCAATCTCGTTTTACGGTTATTAGCACCTTTGTTGTTCTTGGACTCGGCGCAGTGTTGCAATGGTACCAAAGTCTAATTGAAATTTGCAGCTTTCAGAGGTCCCCAGAGGGCAGGGATTACAGCCCTCCTCGCCCAACGTACGGCACAGCCGTTGCTAATACCGAGGTGAATCCCAACTTGAACCCTCTGCCTCCAGCCTGCCCTTCTCAGCCTGCCCTTGTGCCTCAGGTGGTGAACTCCTTGCCGCAGGAACGGCTGCCGGGGCTGGACAAGGCCCACAGAAACCCTCTCTCTGTTCATTTGTGTTCCAGACTGATGGAAATAAAAAGCGCAAATATAAAGCCGTTCTCTGGAACAAAAATAACTGAGATGAGGCCAGTCAGCTCCCAGCGCTGCCGCAGCCTCGCCGGGGGAGAGCAGCTCTGGATGAGTAATTGCCTGGTCTCGATGCTCGGTACAGAGCGCTCCCCTGGAATCGTTCACAAGCAGAGAAGCTTGTCAGGTTGTCAAACAGCTGACCTGGTTTCCTTGCTAGAAATATGAAATCTTCTGATTAATTTATTACGCTGTGGTTTTTGTGAGCGTTTCCTTATGTAAATGATCACTCCTGGAGTAATAAAGCTGCTCATAGGTAGAAGTGCATGGCCCTTCCCCTTCCTGCCTGCGGGATGTCACATGGGAAACCGAAAGCCTTTGCTATAAACCCTTTTCAGCTTTTCCTCTCCATATTTTAGGACAGCATGCTTTCGGTTGGGAGGCTTGTAAAACTAAGAGCTAGTCTCTTCTTTACTTATGCACTGATTCCCTTGTGAACTAGGGCTTATTTCCCTCAACGTTTTAGCTTGAGCAGTCGAATGGATTGCACCGGGTGTAAATGTTTTCCTTCAGAGCTTGTCTGTGGCGTTCTTGTCTGGTGTGCTCGAGAGATTTGTGCCAAAGGCTCTGAGGAGCTGGGAGCGTTCTGGGTGCTGCTGTCACTGTGTGGGGATGGCCAGAGAGCCCAGTCAGGCTGTGCGACTTGATTTACTCAAGAGCTAATTTGTGATTTGTTCTTTGTGTTTTCCCTTTCCTTTCTTCTTCAAGGAATTCTGCGACCTTCAAGTCGTTTGAAGATAGAGTTGGGACCATAAAGGTAACAGCCTGCTTTGTTTTGTAAACGTAGAGCGTGAAGCTTTCTGCAGAAGCTTTTAATTTTTGCCATGTTTATCTTGTAGACTAATATTTGGGCCTCTCAGATATGTGAAATCTTTGCTACAGTAGGTGACCTTGACGAGGGGGAATCGCCTCGGTATTTTCAGTGCTGCCTTCTTGTTATTCTGACTCTCTTCTCTCCTTTCAGTCCAGAGTGGTGGGCAGCAGGGAAAACAGCACTGACGGCCTCCACTCCCCCTCGGGAGCTGGGGAGAAGCCTCCACAGGACAATGCTCCTTTCTAGACCCGCGGTGGGGCTTTGCACGGCCGTGCACAACTGTAAGAGCGAGCCCCCTCCCTCCCAAACCTTCACAACGGCAACAACATGCGAATCCAAGAAGGGGCTGAGAGCCAGTCTGGAGAGATCCATCCTTCATTCATAGACACTGCTGCTGGATCTAAGTCAAATAAAGAGAATGCAAAGTTTTGTACACAAATAATATTTTACACTAAAGTTTGTAGATTAAATGTATCACTGCTGTCCTTTTGGGAGGGCGTGTAAGATGGAGTTTCCTTAAAGTAGCTCAGAAATGCCACTGGCGTAGGTAAAAACAGGTTTTCCCTTGTCTGACGTAACTTGGAACAGATACATCGTCCCGAGGAGGGCAGTTATTGGAGAAGCCAAGTGCATGGGCATCTTAGCTTCAGCTTCTGGCTGCGTTCTCCGTTCGGGGCATGCCGTGCAGCTACTCGGTGAGCTCCCAGGCTTCTCCCGTTACTGTTTTCTCTGGCTCTTATTGGAGCAGTTTGGTAAAGGGGGCAAACAGTTAGGTTTGGTTTTTGGTGTTGTTTTTTTTTCTTTCTGGGCTCCCAAAAGAGAAACTTCGCTTAGCAGCTGCCTCGTTGTTACACTAATGCTCTAGCTTTAACAGAACTAAAAATCTTTATTTTTAAATGCAACGGACTTTGAAGAAATAAAGCTTAAAAATAATAATAATAATAAAAAAAAAAGCTTTGGCATCATATTGGGGAAATGCTCCCTTGGACTCTGAAACTGAATTGCAAGCCTTACATTACCTTATGCTGTACTTGTTTATGATTACTTTTTTTTCTCTAGAGAAGACTGTGAGAGTTAAAAAGCTGGATGTTGAGCACTGGAGTTTTGCATCACACAGCAGTAGCAGCATGCCTGTAAGTCAGTTCTTGTGTTAAATTCCGTGACGCACTCCATTTCCCGAGTGTATGAAACTTGCTTCTCCCTTCTCGGTTTACGCCTTCGTTCTTGGAGGAAGAATTCTGAAGGCAGCTCGCGACAGGGCCGGGTTACAAAGGCCAGAGCTGTCCCCAGCAGTACGGACACCGTGTCGGAGGGACTGTGCTCTGCGGGCTCCTCCAGCTGGTACATCTGACTGTGACTGGACGGGTTTTTCAGCTGAAAGCCCCAGCTCTAGTCTTAGTTTACAAAACTGGCAGAGAGTCACAGAGCTCAACCAGTTTCCCTGGGGGCCGGGTGTTTTTGCTCTTTTGATATCCAACTTCATTGCTCAGGAGCTGAAAAATTCCGAGTTTTCTCCGAGAGACCCCATCTTATTCTAGGCAAGGTGCCTCCACGTAGAAATACCTAGAGTGAGCAATTCTGTGCCTTAGAGGCGAAGTGGGACTTACTCAGGTCTTTAGACTTGCTTATGTACATATCTGGGTGTAGTTTTAGTGGTTTATCACCCCTGGAAGGACGGAACCGTCTCTGACCCTCCTTTAGAGAAGCAAGTTTTGACACTTAATTGATGATTAATCTCCGTTTCCCTCACCCTTCCTCCCTTTCCCTCTGCAGACCTGGGGACACAGGATAAAATATTAGCAGGCAGATGTACTAGGCAGTAGGTGGAGCGCAGAGTGTCGTTTACGGGCGCTCCTCGTTTGACTGAAACTGGCCTCCCTGCGAGGAACTGAGCCAGTGAAACGGGGACTGCTGGAGCTTGGGTATTAAACTGTTTCTCTATATAGATAAATAGCGAGGAAACTTGTCAATAAAGCGTTCCTTTGTGAGAAAACGGGGTGAATGTTCTTGTCTTGTTCCGTCTAACGGTACTGAAATCCCCTCTTGGGTGCGTGGTACGAGCTTGGCGAGCAAATTCCGGCAACCAGCAGCAGCTTGAGACGACTGAAACATTCCATCCTCTCCCTCTGGCTTGTTTGTCTGCTGGCTCTCCGGATGCTTCCTTAGGAAGCGATGTCCTAAGTAATATTTCCAGTCTGAGGTTTCCTTTTCAAGATGCCGAACACCAGCTGGTTCCCGAGAGCTACCTGAGCTCCACTGAGCTGCAAGCTCACCTTTATCCTCCGAGTACTGTCGCATTGCTCCCGTCCCCACTGGTGACCCAGGCGTGCCTCCAGCTCCCTCGCGCCGTTTCCCTGCGCTCGCAGCGTGGGACTGCAGTTGTGGCGGTAACCTTGGTGGTGGGGCCTGAGGCTGGAGAAACTTCCAATGTGGAAAAGCAGCAGCTGTGGTGCTGGGTGGTGTTTACAGTGTGATACCTCAGGGAATCAGGTTCTTGGAAGCTCTGGCAGCCGCTTCTAATTTAAACGGAATGGTGCAGGGGCAGCACTGAATGGATGACCGGAGTTGGGACCTGCTCTCTTAAATTTAAAAGGGCATTGGAGACCAGGTAAATAGGTTGTGAGAGAGGCCAGCAGAGCTCTGTAGCTGCTTGGTGTGCTGTGTTTTCAGAGCAAGGGCACATGGCTAGGTTTGAAGCATCTGTTTGTGAGGTTTGGGGTTTTGTTTGTTTGCTTTGAAGGTTGGGCTGTGGGTTTTGTTCTGCTCGATTCCTGTAGATAAAATGATGTTTCTGCAACTAGGTCTAAAGCAAAGGGCTTGTTATGATACCTGATCCTGGAGGAGAGATACTGCAGGGAGCGCAGAGCTGGGGCTGTGAGCTCCCCTTCAGGAGCCCCAGGGGTGGGGGGATGCTTTTCCACCTCCTCAGTCCCTTCAGGCAAGGAATCTCAGGTGTTCTGGAGGAAGGTTAATTAAGTCTTCCCTTCCTGGTTATAGGCTTGACAGTGTTTTTGTCACTTCCCAGTGCTCTCATGGGTGCAAACCCCTGGTTTGTGTGCAGTGTCCCACGCCAAAGATGAGGGATGCGGATTCCTTCCCTGCAGAAACTTGGCACCGCGAGCAGACGCATCCCCGCGAGCACCTGCCCGCTCTGTTGTAACCTGGGAGGGCTCTGACAGAAATGTTCCTCTTCTCCTCATCCTCTGCCAAAAGCCTCGAGGGGTCAGAGCTGCTCAGAGGGGCTCGAGGGCAGCCTGGTGTTCCTGGGCAGCTTTCCTGCTGCCTTCCAGCCTGGAGAGGGTTTTGCAGAATCACTTCTTTCTGATACCCCTTTTTTCCCCTGTTGTTTCCTTTACGTGAAACATCCTGGTATTAAACCTACACTAACCAGGCCAGCACCTGACACCCGTCGGCTCTGGCATCTTCGCAGGCAGCAACAGAGCCAGCAACAAACCAGCATCTCCTCTTTCCTGCTCCCCTGGTTTTACCGCATGATTTTCCTTTTCTTTCCTCATCACTGAGGGCTCAATGGGCTCTCTCCAACTGCTCCCGTTTTCCAGGAGGGGAGCTCCATGCTGAGCAGACGTCGACTCCAGCCAGCAAACAACAAGGGACAGGCTCACACTTTGGCCACCAAAAGGAAACCTGCAAAGTGGGAACAAGCAGATAAACGGCAGCGTGGAAAAGCAGCTGATGGCAAAAAGCTAGAAGGAGGCATTTTTCTGTTGCTAGCACCTCAGCCAAACACCACAGCAAGCATTTTTTTAAGGATTTTGATATTTATGCTGGTGAGAGGGGTTGCACAACTGCTCCAAGCACCCGAGAGCTGCACGGAGTGGGCAGCGTCCAGAGCCGAGCGTTAGCCCAGGGCTACCAGCCTGAACCAACTCGCTGCGGCTGGGGCTGGCCCTGAGTGGGTGCTGGGGTGGGTTCCCCATCTCTTCTCGGTTCCTCATCTCTTCCAAGGTGCGGGGCAGGTTCTGGGGAGCCCAAAACGTAGCCGGTGTTTTGGAGGGGGGTCCTCTGCAGCCTCGGGGCTGGGGACTCAGCAGCCGGGACTGGAGCGTGATGAGCGGCGATGATGCCGTTGGCAAACGGGATTCACTGTCCTTCATTTCTTTACGACACGAGTCGGAGGCAGCAGACGGGAAAGGCCGTTAGAGCCGCGCAGGAGGCCTCACGCCAGGTACCAGCGCCATGGGCACCCGCGCTCGGACCCTCACCCACCGCTGGGAAACAGCAGCGCTGGCCA